GGGAAGGAAGAACCACCTTTGATCAGACTTGGGGAGGGCCAGCTATCTACCAGCCCACTGGTAGGGGAGGTGAGGGGGAAATTGAAGGCATAGAGAGAAAATAAAGGCATATAAACTCTTAGGGAGTGAATACAGGTGAGTGGAGACTGCTCAGTGCATCATGAAAAGTCCCCCAGCAGCATGGAAGGTGCAGGGCTGCCTGACACTTTGAAGGCTAATCTTAAAATAGGGCTTTGCTCTCCCAAACTGGGAGCTGGTTCTACAGGAACAAGATACTTCATCTCATTCTACCTTTAAAAACCACAAGTCAGCCTGCAGTCTGAGAGCAAAGTGCTCACAGGATGTGATACTACGAGAGCTTTAATGACAGATCCCAACTTTTCAAGCCTTCGTATCTGAGAAGGATTCAGTGTTTTAGACTGAAAATAGTAAAAAATATAACAAAAGCTGTGTATGTACATATTTCATGATAAACTACCCATAAATGCATATTCACAGTAAAATGTCCATAGATTGGCACTATAGTGCCAACTTTTATTTGTCTTCTAAAAATTGTCATTTCCTATTTCAACTCAGGATTATTTGAGTGCTTTTTTCCTCTTATGTCTGAATTAAGTTTAATTACCAAAGACGCTGTGCTGATACTCAACCACGTCATCTTTTGCATTTGTATTTGAATGCAAACGAACATCTGATGAAAGCATCGCGGTTTTTATCTCAAAAATATGAAATAGAAAACAATCAGCATTTATTCATACAGAATTTTTACAGAAAAAAAAAAGCAAAACATCTGATTTTTGGCCTTTCAGGTTTGAAAACACCTTTAACACAAGTGACTGCAGAAAAACACGAAACACAAGAGCTTCACATTAAAGTTTTACAAACTTTGAGACCCAGTAATAAAGCCTTTGCTTCTTGGTAAAGCCGTGATGAAGAACCTGTTGAAGGACTTTAGTTTGGTAGGATCTCAGTCTTTTGAGTCTCTGTGACAAGTTCAGAGTCTGTATACTGTCCCAACAGTGCTGCCATCCCCTCCTCAGTGATGCTGACTGTTTTGAGTCCTTTTAAACAGCCGTGGGGAGAAGTGTGCTCACAGGCTGCTTCCTCACGTCCCATCAAGAGGAGGGAATCTGCTGTTTGTGGAGCCACCTCTTCTTCAGCTTCTCTGCTTTGGCTTTCTCCTTAGAGGCTGAAAGATCAGACCAATAACAGTTTTGGTTTTTTTTTTAAAGTGACTTATGTCCCCACAGCTTTCCAACTCAAACACCCTTTAGAAAGGACATTGAGAGTAAATATGCCAGTCTGAAGACTGAAAATTGGGAGTGTTGTCGCCGTCTCTGCAGCAGGACGCCCGGGAGAGCGAGCGCCTCTCAGTGAGACGGGACGTCATTGTAGCAAAGCTCAAATTGAGACAGATCATCGTCTTTACAGACTACTGCCACAGAGTGTAG